CCTTTATTAGATAAGTAGACCATCACGAGAACTTTTCGTTGCTGAAAACTATGACTTTGATTCCATTAAATCGAAGAGAAACAGCATAAACTTCCCCTATCATTATTTCTCACTTGAAAATAAAAACGATCAACTTGCTAACATTTTCGAAATTCTTTTGTCTTTCATCTTGTTCAACTTTGACAAAATTCAGAGAATCTCACAAATTTTCAAAGCAATATATTTTCTCATCTTACAAACAATGTTTTCTTTTGATATACCACTCAAATTCGGTTGTGTGTCATCTAGACTCTAATTGCTTATTAGTTGTTCATTCAAAGTGAAAATAAAGTCACATTAAGTCGTTCACAAGAAGCCGACCACGGTTACCATCTCTTATCCTTGAGTAAGACAGCGCCATCTTTGCCGTATAACAATTGATTTTAGTTAATCGGTTCTTTCTACGTTGGTGGTTTTTTCTCTTTCTCTTTAAGATCCTTTGGATGTTATCAAAGTTGAACAAGATGAAAGACAAAAGAATTTCAAAAATGTGAGCAAGTTGATCTTTTTTATTTTCAAGTGAGAAATAGTGATAGAGAAAGTTTATGCTGTTTTTCTTCTATTTAATGGAATCAGAGACATATTTTACTGCAACGGGAAGTGCTCGTGAGGGTGTGCGTGTGAGCGTTGCTCTTGCTCTTTCCGACACCTACACCCAGCCTTGCTAATGCGATAGAATTTGAGCTGGTGCTTGCAATCAGACTTCATCGAGTTCTACTTGTGGTTAAAGTTTCAAGCCAAACAATTCCTTTTTGAATAGTTTTTTTCCTAACTGCGTGACATTTGTCCACAACTGTAGTTTTATTGCCAGTTCTGCTGGACCAAGTACCAAATCGGGGTTAGCTCTGTCCATCTCCGTTAGCCTGTCTATGACGCACTGAGGTCATTGTTTATCACATAGCACACAAATTGCACGAGATATTGATGTAAGGCGCTTCCGAACATAGCAAGCCGTACTATAAGAATAGGTGATCTGGCTCAAATGACGTCCTGTGCCGCATTCTGGAAGAGCAGCACGAGACTAAGAACTTTAAAATCCTGTTTGGTACGGATACTTTGATTCTTGAAAATTATTGACTTAATTAAACTATTACGTACCGATAAACATAATATCAATATCTTCGATCATGTGGATTAGACGACGAGACTACAATGTGATTTTCATTGACATCGACCAATGAACCTAAGAACCTTACCGTGGCGGGTGTACATCGTCCAATAAAGTCAAGGGCAACATCAATTTGCTTATCAACCTTGTTCCGAAGAAGGATAATATTATCTCGAATTGTATGCAATACATGTGGTTGCTCGATCATTTGCATCGGTGGAATAGGACATGCTTTGTACGCAGTAAATCCTTCGGCATTCTCATTGATGCTCTTCGCATACAAATCAACATAGTCCCCTACAGGCTCCATTGACAACCATCCATACATGCGAATTCGATCGCGCACTTTACCACCAAGCAGGCGCCACACGGGAACGTTGAGACTGTATAAATAAACAAACTGATAAGCAAACAGAAAAGAAATCCTACTGTTTGCCTAGAATATCCCAAAGAGCTTGTTCAACACCCGATAGAGCACTGGTCAGAATAGGTCCATTTCTGCACAAATGTGAAATTATCTAAGTAGAATATGACGAAAAAAAAAAGAAATAATCACTTACCGATAGAAAGTGCCTCGATAGATTCTTTGCCAATGTTTTTCGATGTCTCGTGGATCCTATCTCCCGAACTTCTACTATCCTAGACATTTAATTAAAAGACAACTCATACCTGACCGATCAAATATCGTCCAATTTCCTAGAAGAAAATGTATTTGTATCAGACCTGTGGAAAAAGTAGAAGAAAGAACGGGGGCGTATAAGTAATTATCCCGAAGCATTCAAAAGTGAGAGAGATTTGACTTTTATTAACACTAATAGTCTGGAACATTTTTAAAGCAAAACTTTTGACAGGACCGATCAATCCAGAATCTATTTCGTTCTATTCTGTAGAAAAATTGGTTCTTTCCGAAACGATAGGATTCGAAAAGAACGAATTTTTTTCAGAATAGTGCGAAAGGACGGAATAGGTCTCGGCGGTACAATTTTTTGGTCGTTCCGCTGAGATCTCGTTCGTATACAGTTCTGAATATTCTATCTACCTACTTTCACGGCAGTTTCAACCGTTTGAGCTCGTCCTTCCACCACTGGCTCACCCCAACCTACTGTACCATCATCGCACGTAATCTAAAAGTTGTCATGAATACATTTCTGGAGAAAACTCAGATTATACTACTTTGAGAAAGAGCCATCGTGGCTTGACATGAAACATTTCCATCTTCTCGATCTTCATCTTTGTAGTGTCTCAGTTGGATGAAGAAGGCGACACTGGTTATCGACCTGTTCTTTTCTTCTTTTCTGAAAGAAGAGATTTAGGGCGAAAAAATTATTAAAATAAGTAAGTGTTCATCAAATATATCAATCGATTCACTAGCTCTTTTCTGAACGATTAGTACTTTGTTCTGAGATAGAAAAACTGATAAAGATTATGTAAGATGTTTTGCTTTTCGACATTACTGCTTACTCGAAACTTCAGAGTCCGTCCTCTCGTTTTGTTCTATGATAACCGTCATGTACAGAAAGCAGGCAAGTCGATTGTAACTCGATTAACTGCACTCCTTATTTCAATCTAAAGTACCAGTAATTACATCAGTTAGAAGTGATAGAAGTCTTTATTCATCATCAATAGAGAAAACATTCTTTTCGTTTTTGTTAAATATGTCCAAGGATGAAAAATAGTTGCAAATATTCAAGTCTCGAGAGGATACAGAAGTAAACAAAAGATTTTCTTGTAAAGTCGACAGAAAACGTGGGCATCACTATTTGCTATCACCACGCCACTTTTCTCCGATGCTTATGGGACTATTATCATACGAAGCCTTATCTTAGAGGTGGACTTTGACCGTTTCGTGTTGTTGATACAACAGAACAGGATGAAATTATATCGCCGGTTACACAACAACTGGGATGCATGCCTGTTTTTAACTCCTTGTGTAATGCGCTCTAGTTTTATAATTACATTTTTCACAGTCGCGGAGTATGACAAGAAAGACCTTGATAACTAAGAAAACTATACACACTTCAGTTCGATATTGTACAATGGCTTATATTCAAATGTTGTGCAAAAATTAAACAGAAAGGAGGGTATAGGTGTGGATAGGTATGCGTATGTGTGAATGTGCGTGTCATTGAAGCAAAGATCTACATGCACACCCACACCCTACACTAGAAAAAAATGCCTTGTTTTTCGATTTGACTACCAATATAATCTCCCGAAGAAAATTGTCAAAGAAGTTGTCAAGTTCAATTTGAGATTGTCTTCTGAACTGGTAAATATTGTAAATGTATTTCGTATATTAAAAATATTATCTATAGAAAAATTCATTTTCCAAATAGACATACCTTGTTGATTAATTTTTGATATGAACAATAAATAAGTCTGATGAAAACTATCAACAACAACGTATTGAAATAGAAAAGAACTTGCTGGTTATATTTTCATTTAAAACACAATGAAATATAACTATTATCAATAGACTGAAACTAGTTGCAATTGTGATTTGCATACTGAACAATGCATCCAGTGGATCGGTTGCATGAAAAAAAGAAACAAAACATATCCAATAAAATGTTACCAAGATTAATTATTTAT